TATATATCATTGTGAAGGAAAGTTTATGTAGATTATTTTTACATTTTTAATTTTTCAAAAATATTAATTCTCCTGCATTGTTTTTCCTTTACCATGTGTCCCATGACGCGCCAATGGCTAGCTCCTCTTCTTCTACTTTGAATAGCTATAACACTTTTTCTAGTTGATCGATTTTCAAGGGTTTTTACACTATTTTACTGATAATTTTATGCTTATTATAATAATAAATTGAGTTTTTAAAAAATCTCGATTTTTCAGTTAAATACGACCCAAACAATGGCAATAACTGGAATCAACCATGGGAAAAATTGGAACCAGTTTTTCAAACGGACCCACAACTCATGATCCACATTGATGAAGAGTTGAAGGTACAATTATTTGAAATCAGCACGTTGAGAGCTTCAAAATGAGTATAAACACGACTAGGCTCCGCCCACTTTGATTTTTTTTTGACTTTAAAGGCGCATAGGAGGTCCGAAACTCGAAATTCAGGGAGAATAGGTCATGATTATACTCTTTTTGAAGCTAGTAACGTCAAAAAGACGTTACTTCTGGTTTTAGCAAACAACTCCGAAAATGAAAAAAAAAGCGCGAAAACGTATTTTTGCAAAAAAAAAAAAAAATTGAGCTCATAACTTTTGAAATTTCAGTTTTCCGTCTGAAACATACAAAGTTGAATTTTTCATGTCAAAAGCTTTAAAATGAGTATAAACAAGGCTTTACTTCTAAAAAAAAATATTTTGTTGGGTCCCACCACGAAAACTACAGTAACCCTCGAGTTTTGCAGAAGTAGGGCATGTTTATACTTTTTGAAAAGCTCTCAATGTGAGAAATTTGACGGTGCTAATGAATTTAAAGGAAAGTTAAAACTTAACGTTCTGTATGTCAAAAACAACTTAATTTAGAAACACTCGAACAAGTTGAATGCCGTGCGATACTCTGCAAAATGTTTGGAAAAAAAGCAGACCAACATGAAGGAGAAACTCCACAAAGCCAACGAATCACGCAAGGCTTCTGAATTCCTCGAGGCGAGAAATGATGAAGCAGAAGACATTTTGGAATTCGCTGTGAAGGAAATTGTCATGCCGAATTTCGACATGAACAATTGCAATTACGATATGTATTACGGTATTGAAGCAGCCAAAGAGAAAGTTCTGGAAGATGTGGAGAAAGCCAAAAAAAAGGATGAGCAATTGCAACAGAAGAAACAGGTAGGTCCTAAAAATTTGGCAATTTTAAAGATCTTTCGAAAACTATTTTAAATGTTTTCGAATTTTCTGAAAATTTCACAGTGTACTAAACAAACTTAGATCTTTATTTTTTCAGTTAACAATTTTTTCATAGCTACCGTTGTTTTTGAGATATGCGCCTTTAAAGAAGAGATGCCCCAAAGAAGGGCAAGAAGGGCATGCCTACTTTGAATGCCTTATATCTCAAAAACTACAGTAGCTAGAAAAACGTTTTCACTGCTAACATATTAAGCAAGTATGGAGCTTTATTTTTCTAGTTGACACTTTTTTCATAGCTACCGTAGTTTTGGAAATATGCGCCTTTAAACAATGGTTGTTCAGAGAGAGGGCGCGCCGCCGCCTCCGGCCGGGGGTACGGGGGGTAGAGGCAATTTTTAAAGGCGCATAACTATGCTCAAAATTGAGTAATTTTAAAACTTTGAAGAGAAAAACATGTGTTTTTTGATTGTCTACAAAAAAGTTATAAGTTTGTTTGAATCTTGCTTGATTGATGTTTTCAAAAAAAAAGATTTTCGCTGTTCTTACCTCGAAAACCAGATTATTCGACTTCAACTCAGTGTATCTCTCTTGTTATAAGTACTGTTAATTTGCAAACTATTTTAAAAAAAACTGGACATTTTAAAGGCTACACATTTGTAGTTTGTAGTTTTACTCTAGCTACCGTAGTTTTTTAGTTATGCGCCTTTAAAGCTCCCGCCACTCGCGAGCGGGCGCGGCGCGCCGCCTACTACGAGAGGGGCGGGGCAAGTTTTAAAGGCGCATAACTTTGCTCAAAATTGAGTAATTTGAAAATTTAAAATAGAGAAATTTGTGGTTTTTGATTGGCTACAAAATGATAACAAAATTGTTCAAATCTTGCTAAATTAATATTTTCAAAAAATGATTTTTTAGCCGAAATGTTTTTTTCTACCTCAAAAACCAGATTTTTAAACTTCAATTTAGTGTATATCCATTTCTAAGAATTCTTTTATTGTGCAAATTATATGAAAATACTGGAAATTTTATGGGCTACAAATTTGTAGTTTGTAGTTTTACTCTAGCTACCGTAGTTTTTGAGATATGCACTTTTAAAGAGCCCGCCCCCTTTGAAAGAGGCGCGGGGGGGGGGGAGGGGAAGGAGGGGCAGCCCACTTTAAAGGCGCATATCTCAAAAACTACGGTAGCTATGAAAAAAGTGTCAACTACAAAAATAAAGCTCCACTTTTGTATAGTGTAATCTGAAATTTTCAAATAATTTGAAAAAAGTTAAAGAAGTTTTCGACCTCCAAATTGGGGGGCGGTGGGGAAGACAGTGGCCGAAGTTTTTCTAAAAATTCTAGGCTATTTTTTTTAGACACTTCGAGAAGTCAAGGCAAATTTGGACCAGAGACAATTCGAAAACGATAATAAAAACACAATTCCTGTGTATGTTGTGAAAGATGTGAGTTTTTTGGGAATTTCAAAACTTTTAGAGATGAATTTAAGCTCATTCTAATCGCCGAAATCTGGAAAATCAAAATGAATTAGAAAAAATTATATTTCTGAATAATTTCAGGGTAAACAAGCACTGGCTAGCAAAACCACCATAGCCACACGTTTGTGCCGAGCTAAAAAACATCACACGACTAGTCAAAGTGACTACGATGCTGCCGTTAATCAATATGTAAGTTTGTTTGATTGATTTTAAATTTAAATATTTGAATTCAGCACGTTTAGAGCTTCAAAATGAGTATAAACACGACTAGGCTCCGCCCATTTTGATTTTTTGACCTTAAAGGCGCATGGGGGTCTGAAAATTTGAAGTTTAAGGAAAGTAGGTCATGATTATACTTATTTTGAAGCTCTAGACGTGCTAAAATTAGAAATTTTAGTATCAGTCGAATATTCCCGAAATTCAAAAAGTTATGATTGAAACAATTTTTCACTGAAAAATTCAAAAAACAAATTTAAGCTCATAACTTTTAAAATTTTAGCTTTCTCTGTCCGAAACCTACAAATTTGAGTTTTTCATGTGAAGAGCTTCATAATGAGTATAAACACGACTAGGCTCCGCCCATTTTAAGAAATTCTGACTTTAAAGGCGCATGGGGGGTCTGAAAAATTAAAATTTTCGAAAGTAGGTCATGATTATCATACTTGTGAAGGGCCGGGCCGGGCCGAAACACGAATTTCACCGGCCCGGAAGTTTACCGCGAACTTCAAAATCTTGAGCGAAAAGTTGAATCATTGTTTCGAAAAAAGGTATTCAGTGTTTTTTTTCTTCGAGTTATTTTTCAATACATTCTAAAAATCAATGAACTGGGTTTTAAAACCTAAATTAAACATTACAATCAAAAAAAACAATCAAAAGACAATGAGAAGTGAACATTTTCTGCCGTAATTTTTGAAAATTCAGAAATATTGAGATTCTGAAGTTCTGAAATTCTGAGGTTTTGAGGTCCTGAAATTATGAGATTCTGAAATTCGGAAGTTCTCAGATTCTCAGTTTCTGAAGTTCCGAAATTCTCAGATTCCGAAATACTGAAATTCCAAAGTTCTGAAATTCTAAGAATTCTGAGATTTTCAAGCTCTGAAATGCAGGAATTCAGAAACTCCTTCAAAAAATTGTACCCCCGAATCACAAGCGTTGTACCCCTGTTTGAAATGAGTTGTACCCCAGAATCATTGGTAGTTTTCACCCCCGAATTTTTGTACCTACAAATTTTGTTCCCTCGAATCACCAATTTTGTACCCCTAAATCAGTTGTACCCCCTTGTACCCCCCAAATTTTTCGCCAACTATAGGATAAGGCCGAAAGCCTTGTTTCTTTTGGTAGTATGGGAGACTCTGTGGAAAAAAGTAGTATAAGAGACCTTGGTAGTAAAAGAGAATTGGTAGTATGAGAGACACATTGAAAATAAGTAGTATAAGAGACAGTGGTAGTAACAGAGACTCGGTAGTATAAGAGAAAGGTAGTATAAGAGATGGTTGTATAAGAGAATTTGCCCCGAAATTCCGCATTCGCGTTGTTTATCGCTTTGACAAAAATGGCGGCTGTTTAAATTCATTTTTCAAAAATTTTGTTTTTTTTCTGCCGGGCCGCCGGGCCGGGCCGGGCCCTGAAAATTTTCTCTCGGCCCGGGCCGCCGGGCCGAACCGGGCCGGGCCGAAATTTCACAAGTATGATGATTATACTTTTTGAAAAGCACTTGATGTGAGAAATTCTATGGAATTAGAAAAGACACAGAAAAGTCAAAATTGAGAATGATTTTTTCAGAAAATCCGACGGCAAAATGGGATAAAAGAAGTTTTGGATTCCAGTTTGAATTATTTCGCTCCATTCGTCAAATTGGTTCAGAGAATGCGCCGGAAGAATTCTGGCAACGTGCCAGAATGACTGGACAAATTGAAAAAGTGAACGGCCTTCAAGAATGGCTGAAATTTAACCCTGGATAGTTTTTTTTTTCAATTTTTTTTTCCAAAACCAAATACTTTTTTTTGTATATTTTTCGTAGAATTTTATGTTTGCTGAAACTTGTATCTTTATGTGTAGAAAATTTTCTTCCCGGTTCCTTTTTTAAATGAATTATAATTTTTTGTTGCAAACTTGGATTTTTTGGATTTTTTGGAATATTAGTAGAGTCATAACTTTTTTCAAATTTTGCCGATCTTTTCAATTTTCACACCAAACAATTGAAAATTTTATGTAGATCATTTCAAGTTTTTCAATTTTCAAAAAAGCTCATTTTTCCAGCGATTTCCAGCGATTTTCCTATAAATGCACAAATGGCTCAGTGGGATTTTCCACAATTACCACTACCAAACTAACCACCCGGGTTCGACTCCACCTGGTGGCAAAATTTTTTTGATTTTTTTCTGAGCATTTTCAGACGTTTCTAGAACATTCTAGAGCTGAAATTTGAAAATTTGCGATTTTTTAATAAAGTTTTTAAAAATTAGTATCACAACTTTTACAAAACACAATTAATTACAAAATGACAAATATTATCGTACTCCGGAGGTCAAGAGCTTCAAAATGAGTATAAACACGACTAGGCTCCGCCCACTTTGATTTTTTGATTTTTTGACTTTAAAGGCGCATAGGAGGTCCGAATATTGAACTTTGAGGAAAGTAGGTCATGATTGTACTCATTTTAAAGCTCTTAACAAGAAAAATTAAAAGAAATCAGAACTTTGAAGATATCATGAAGAATTGAAGAAATTTGAGGATTTTGTAGTTGCTTGGAAAATCTGAAAATTCTTGAAATTGAATTTTAAAAGCTGAAACTTCAAAATTTTATTTTGAAACCTAATTTTTCAGATTTCTGACGTTTCGAGCTTCAAAATGAGTATAAACATGCCTATACTTGGTGTGGAAAAATTTTTGGGTGGGTCCCACCACGAAAACTACAGTAATCCAAATTTTTGAAGGAAATGGGGCATGATTATACTCATTTTGAAGCTCGTGACGTTAGAAATTCAATGAAATAGGTAAGAATTAATAAAAACTGAGGGTTTTCGAGAAATTTCAAAAAACAAATTTTTTGATTTTTTTTTTTCAAATTTCAAACCTCTTTTATTTGGTGTAGAATCCATAATTCGCCAAATTGAACTTGGAGCCGAATCCTCCTAGTCTTCTAGACGGTTTTTCAGAATTTTCAGAAGTTTCAGAAGATTCAGAAAATTCAGAAGTCGTCGATTTTCGGGACTTCAAGGATTCCAGGGATTCAGATTTTTGAAATTTTCCAGATTTTTGAAAATTCTGATAATCTTCGACGTCTTCGGCTTCATAGAATTTCAGAATATCGATTTTTGGATCTTCAGAAGACGTCGGGAAATTTGAAAATTCTCGATTTGGCGGGAAAAATTCGATTTTTGAATTTTCGGAATTTTTAGAATCTAGAAGATTCTGAATCAATTTTTCCAGATTTTCAAATTCCACTTTTTGAATTTCCCGCATTTTTTTAACGTCTTCAGAAATTTCTAGAATCTCGAATTCCAAAATTTTCAGAATTTCCAGAATTTCAGAATTTTCAGCCAAATTTTCAGCCAAAAATTTTTTCATCGAATCCAAATTTTTTGAAAATCTCTCTCGTTGAATTGGAATATTTAGAATTTTCAGCAAATTTTCAGAATTATCGATTTTTCCATATTTCTCCAACATTCCAATTTTCTCCAACGCGTTCTCGAATTTTCCAGCCAATTTTATGTAGGAAATCAAGGCATCCAAAAAGGGGGCGTGGTCAGAAATGGGCGGAGTCTTAAAGACATTTTCTATTTTCTCGGATTCCTTGATGATTTGATTGATTTCCTCGCAAATCGATTGAAATACAGATTTGGCGAAATCTGAAAAATTACGTTTGCAGTCATAACTTTGTCAATTTTCTATATTTTTGACTGCAACTAATTTTAATCAACTTTTCACACTGAGAGCTTCAAAATGAGTATAAACACGATTAGGCTCCGCCCACTTTGATTTTTGGACTTTAAAGGCGCATGGGGGGTCGGAATTTAGAAATTCGAGGGAAGTGGGTCATGATTATACTCATTTTGAAGCATTTAATGTGAAATAATAGAAAATCAATTTTTATTCGAAAATCTTGTGAAATAAGAAAGTTATGGGGAAAACAAAGCTTTCGAAATTTTTCTGAAATTTTTAGTTTTCCTCATAACTTTCTGTATTTTCATTATTTCGGACTGAAATTAAAATTATTGAATTTCTCACGTTTTAAGCTACGAAATGAGTATAAACATGACCTACTTTCCTCTAATTTCAAAATTCGGACCC